GCGTCGCAGCGTAACAGTGTTTCGTGAGGTATCGCGAAGCCTGTTACGCGAGACGTGGTCTGGCGTACATCTACCATGTCTATACAAACTGTATTCAATTATTGCTAGAAAAACTAAAATGTGATTTTGTGCTTTATGTAGATGACACTACCCTGATTATCCAAGGCAAGGATATAAATGAAATAGAAGCGAAGGCAACTATTATCATTACTGAAATTTACAATTTTTTTGCTTCGCTTAAACTAGCCTTGAATCTTGATAAAACCATAGGAATGCTTTCTAACAGTGAAAACGATAGGATTAATATCTCTGTTAATGGAATCAAAATTCATCAAGCTGATAATACAAAATTCCTAGGAATGGTCTTCAACAACAATCTAAACTGGTCTGACCACATACAATCAATTATTATTTCAATAAATAGAGGAATTTTTGTACTAAATCAAATGAGGCAGTCCTTAGATAAAAATTATTGTAAAATAGTATTTAATGCTTTCATAACTTCTGTTCTATCCTACGGAATTGTAATCTGGGGAAATGGTAATGTAAACAAAAATCTTTTATCCGTACTCTTTCGAAAACAAAAAAAAGCTCTTAGATTGTTGGAAGGAATTGACTCCAGAACTTCTTGTAGAGGTCGTTTCAAAAGTAATAACCTACTTACTCTCTGTTCCTTATATATCTACTATGCAGCAATCTTCGCAAAGAAAAACTTTTCAACCTATAAATGTTCTACTATACATAACTACAATACAAGGAACAAAGATAAAATTTTTAAAAACCAGTTTAATATAAACACTATTCAGAGTCAGACAACAAACATTTTAAACAAGCTTCCAATATCTTTAACTAATATTCAAAATAGGGACTGTTTTAAGAAGAAGCTGAAACTTTATTTAATAGAAAAAGAGTACTATGTTTTATCTGAATTTTTAAATGAAATGTAACATCTTTACCGGGTAACAAATTACTTCTTTCTTAGTTACTTCTTTCTTAGTTATTCCTGAGTGAGATTGAG